CTTCTTCTTCTTCTTCTTCTTCTTCTTCTTCTTCTTCTTCTTCTTCTTCTTCTTCTTCTTCTTCCTTGTTTAAGGGTCTTGATCGCATTCACGCTGGAAACGCTGGGTGTGGTCTGGAACCTATAAAATTAAAATTTTAAGAGTATGCGTAGCGCTAGTCAGTAAGATGTTACCATAAAAGCACAGGAAATTCAGAAATGATTAATAGTTTGCTGTTATTTAAGCATCAGGAAGAAACTTTAAATATCTATCCTCCAGATGTTATTTGAAAGATGAAAAGTTTTTCAAGATTGTTTTTCTTCTGTAGCACTTCAGAAAAGGAAATAATTCTGTGTTTTACCAAATCCTTCGTGCTTTTTAAAATGACACTCAGGGAGTGCAGAGCAGATTGTCTAGATCTCCCTCATCTGGAAATTTAAATGATTAGACGTAACTACCCTTAGGGTACTTTTTAAAATACAGCCGTTCACTTTGCAGTAACTTGCACCTTGAATTTACTCAAAATAAAAGGAGGGGGAAAGTCCTTAAAAGACAGGTGTATAAATTAGTGCCTGGAGCAGCAAACATTTGTGGTGATGTTTCCCTGGTGAGATTGACTTTACAATTTGTTTTAATATTCAGTCAACAAAAAGTATGATGGCAAATCAGCACAAAGCACATTATGGCATCTTGCCATATAAAGTAAGCAGAGTCTAGCTTTCCATGTGCACTTATGCTAATGCGGTGGTGTTGTTTCTTTGCCTTTTGCTTTGATTAAAACAAATATTTTCCACTTTTTAAAAAAGGCAAAGAGAAATTGGGGGCAGGGAGTTAAGAGAAAGAGATGAAGATGACGAATCTTAACCAATAAGTTTGCCTCACATTAGAGTGTGTGTTTATTTCCTCCAGGATCATAGTGGTTGGAAATTCAACAAAATTACAATCTCAAATCATCCAAAATATTTCCACTGATGTTATTTGGTACTGAACCTCTTTCTAGCTAATTCTTAAAACACTTTTTCCCTGATTTTTCAAATTCCACAGAAGGAGTTTATATTTCTCATACCTAATTCATGGTCTAAAGACAGATTAATGCATCCTGCATAATTCAAATATAATGATAAACAAAACAGGGAGTTTAAAAAAAAATCATGGAAGAATAGCATAAAACAGAAAAATCAAAAGTTCAGGATTTTTTTTAATGACATCAATTCTTCTCTAGCTCGCCTACCAGTCTGAACAAAATGATCTGCTCCATATAGGGCTCATCCTCATGTTTGGCTTGCTACAGCACAAAGATACTACTAGCCACTTTTAAGGTACACATCCTCATGACATCACCTCCATTTCTTCCCCTGCTGCTGCTGAGGCTAGAGCTGTCTTAGTTCGTCCAGTTTGGATGTTTTTCTTCTGGCAAGACAAAACTTCCCATGTTTTGGGAAGCTAGGTCAGGGGTTTTCAAACTTTTTCAGGAAGTTTGAAGT